CAATTCAGAAGAAGGGGGAGGGGAATGGAAGAACAAGGCTGATAGGAGAACAGTTAGGCAGGTTCCCATGGACTAAGTGAAGTGGGCCAGAGGTAAATGACGGTTATGCACAACCTTGAAACAACAGGGCTCTGGGATACAGGGATTGAGGCATGGTTTGAAGGGGTAAAAGAGGGGAAATAATGTTAAGATGCTTGGCTGTCTTATGAATCTTGGTTTCCCTTGCCTACCATTGTAAAATAGACACTTGAGGCAGGGAGAAGGAATAGCCAGAAACATAACTACAGAAAGCTTGTAAGTCCGTCTTCAGCCTATAACTGATTGGAATAGCTTAAAGGGGGCTAGAAGTTGCCCAGTGAAAGAGGCTTCCTGTGGAGCCTTTACATTGCACAAGACTATACGTGGAATCCAGAACCCTATCCAGAACCAACTGAGGTAGGAATTTTCCACTGGAAAGTGAATAGACCAGCCTGGAGCTGCTTGAAGAACAGAAGATACTTTGTGACTGAAAAACTGGCAGGAAAAATCCGAAACAATAATGGCAGTCTGATTACTACAAGAATAAGTAAGCTGTTCACCCGGAAGCCATCAAGGCAAGTGGTCGGGACCCCTCAGAGCAAACTCCCTTCCAAAACTGAGACTCAATAGGAATCCATGAGTAGGCATGTGGTCTGGCTGGTGACCACATTGGTCACCAATAAGGGGAAGAGGGGGCAAAAACAGCAATGAAGTTGCAAGCTAAGTCCAACCACATTCACTAGATCCCTGTGAACCCGGGTGGAGACCTGGATGTCCAGCAGTACAGCAAGACCTAGGAACTCCTGGGCTCAGAGGCAGTGACATGGCCACAGAAGACTAGAGCAAAGAGTGAAGCATCCAGCTGATATGAAGTAAGCTGTTCACCCGAGAACCAGAGGGGAGACGCACAAGAACACCCAAATTTGCAGATAGTACCCACTTGATCTGGCTTCCATGGCTGGAAGATCAGAAATCGATTAGAAGACGAAAGAAGGAGGGGGGGGAATAACCTGATACAATTTGATGAACTTTACCTATACTTATGGATGTTGTTGTTGTTGTTGTTAAGTACTGTAGAGTCGGTTCCGACTCACAGTGACCCTGCACGGGGTTTCCAAGGCTGTAAATCTTTATGGAAGCAGATAGCCTCATCTTTCTCCCGCGGAAGTAGTTTCCAACTGTCAACCTTGAGGTTAGCAGCCCGATTCAAAACCACTACGCTAACATAGTTGCATTTGTTTGTTTTTTCCCCTTTAGGGTGCGTTCTTTTTCTTAGTCTTTTACAATAATGGTCTTATGAAATATTTCTCCATTTATGACTGACTAAGAAGCTCTGGTAGCGTAGTGGTTATGAATCGGGCTGCGAACCTCAGGTTCAGCAGTTTGAAACTACCAGCTGTTCCGCGGGAGAAAGATGAGGCATTCTGCTCCTGTAAAGATTTACAGCCTCAGAAACCCTGTATGAGGTCGCTATGAGTCGGAAAAGACTCCACGGTACATAACAACAACAACAATTTCATTCAGCATAATGTCCTCAAGGTTCATGCATGCTATGCAGTGGCTTGCAACTTCCTTGTTGTCCTTCAAGGTAGTATAGTATTTCATTGTCTATATGTACCACAGTTTGTTTATCCATTCTTCAACTGATGGGCATTTAAGCTGTCTCCATCTTTTTGCTATTATAAATAGTGCTCCTATGAACAATGGTGTTCATATATCTACTCGTGTTATGGCTCATATTTCTTGTGGGTAAATATCAGGAAGAGGAATTGCTGGATCATAAGGTATTGATGTAGTAGCTAAAAAAAATGGGACAAATCTTTACAGCAAGGGTCACTCCCACCCCCTCAGTACACAGGGTTGACAGGGATGGGCAACTTAGACATTGGCTACCCAAAATGGGGGTGGGAAGGAGGCTATAAAGTCAAGAAGTGACTGGCTTGCAAGCTTTCAAGAGGGAGCCTAGTTCTAGATGGGACGGGGTAAGGTAGAATTACCACTGAATGATTTACAATCTGTTGGGACCGGGCTGGTGAAATGAAATGTGGATAAGACTCTTGTGGTACAATAGTGAATAATTGTCATCAGGACTGACTGGGAGGCTAGGAAATACAGAGGTAGATGTTTTTTGACAAAAGGAGGGGAGTGATTGATTTTGCAACCCAGGATCATTGGTCCCTGGGACCATCAAGTGAGAAGAGTGGAGAGTGGGACCCTACCCAGAGAGGCAGTGACACCCAGGATGGAGACACAGATAAGGACATATGGAGTGGCTGGGGACACTGGACTCAGGGAGGGAGAGGGGCCGTGTGTTGATGGCAGGGGCGGGGGTCTGCATTGTGTACCGTTTGGTTATTTGATGATGCATAGAGGGGACCGTAATCATTGCAATGAAACAAAATACGATAGGATGAGTTTAAAGCCGATGTTCTCCCATGTAAACCTCACAATAAAACTTAAAATTAAAAAAAAAAAATTTTAATAAAATAAAATTACATACTAACTTTTCATTATTATGGTGTTGTTGTTGTTGTTAAATGTCATCTAGCTGGTTCCAATTCATAGCGACTCTATATAGGGTTCCCAAAGAGTGGCTGGACTCCTATTATGGTATTGAGTGGGCATGACTGAAATTCACTAATTATATACTTGTTTCAGTTTAGTCATTAGCTCAGACTTATTCCCCAAGTAATATTTCCTCTGGTTGGTTTGATTTTCGCCATTTCTTTCCAGGACTTCAACTAGTGTTAATGTTAATAAGCAGTGGAGAGGAAAAATAAATAAATATATTCTCAAAGCAGGCAGCAGGAGGGAGATGGGGGAAATATAGCACATAAACCATAAGCTGGATAACCATGACAGAATAATTGACTGGAATAAAACAAACACCTTCAAACTCTTAGCTCTTTTAGGAAACAAAACGATCCATTTTCTTAAACCCCTGTCTGGCATCCTGAAAACCACTGCACCTCTATTTACTTATCCAGAGAACCATGCAAAGACCCGATAACAATTTATTACTCTGAATGGAATTTGCATACAGCATGCAAGCATGCTTATGCACTTTCCAAAATTTCTCAACCAGTAATATCCTTCTAATACCACTTTCCAAAAGTTCTCATTCAATAATATTATAATACCAGCTTCTCATTTGGTGCACCTCTAGCTCTGGTGCGGACTCCTGGTGTGGTGTTGTGGGATCAGCACTGGACTGAGAACCACAAGGTCAGCAGTTCAAACCCACCAGCTGCTCCTTGGAAGCCCTACAGTACAGAGTTGCTATGCATAGGGTTTAACACTATATAGGATTTAATGGCACTTAACAACAACAACATAGCTCTGGTGGAGTCCTGGTGTGACGCTATAAGATAAGCACTGGATCAGAAGGTTGGTTCAAACCTGCCAGCCACTCCTAGGAATCCCTATGCAAGGTCGTTATGAGTTGGAACCAACTCAGTGGCACATAACCACCACCACCTGTAAACATTGAATTGCTAACCATAATGTTGTAATGTCAGGATCTTTAGGAGTTGGAACTGACTACTCAATGGCTCTTAACAAACCCACAAAGCTTACACATCATGCAGAATACCAACCTTATGGTCATTCATCTTGTAATCATTGAAGAGAGACTGACTGCCCGCCAAGGTATAGGCACTTCCCTCCCTGAACACGCTGATCCTTTGAGCAGTCAGCTTAGGGGCACACAGCCGGGGCTTGTGGGCTTCCCCAGACCCATAAACACCATCCATTGGTTCGAGGGCCTCTTGGAGAAAACTATGCGGGTACTCTTCCTTTGGTAACTCTAATTCCTGCCCATCCTCAAAGACCTGCTTCAACACTCGGCCGCTGTAGGAGGAGGAGATCTTAAACCGCACTTTTCGGGGTTTGTCTTCACTCTTCTCGTTCAGCTTCTTTTCAGGGTCCTCCATCAGCAGAAATTTTACCCTGAGGTTTCCAGGATTCAGAGAAGCCAGTGAAACTTGCGGCTCTGAGAAAAAGGCATTTTATTTTCTCTCCTCATGCATATAATTAATTGAAGTTGGCGCTGGGGTATACTCGGCTTACAGTAACTGACACCCACACATAAAATATTGATAGACCCTCATGAAAAGACAGGTGATTGCAGGTTTATAGAGTGGATGGAGTACACAGCAAGACTGGATCCCCTCCTGATCCCAGACTCGTCCATATATTCATCCCCAAACTTTACTTTTCTAAACCTGAAGAGGAGTGAGTTTCTTTAGATTGAACAAATACTAATTCAATAAGGATCAGCTACTCAATTAGTTAGCAAATGCTTTGTGATTGTTACTAATAATCACTATGATTTTTTTAGCATTTAGTATGTGCCAAAAGAACCAACAGATCTGTGTTGGAAAAGGTGCAGCCAGGGTGGTCAAACTTCATCTCTCATACTTCAGACATGTTGTAAGGAGTGAGCAGTCACTGGTGGAGGGTCAGAGAAAAAGACGAAGACCCCCAACAAGATGGATTGGCCAAGTGGCAGCATCGATGGACTCAAGCGTGGCAACAGTAGTGAGGTTGGCCCAGGATCGGGCAATGTTTCGTTCTGCTGTGCATAAGGTCGCTATGGGTCAGTACCAACCCAATGGCACCTAACAACAACAGCAAATTCTTTCTCCAAGACAGATTTGTTTGTTCTTCTAGCAGTCCATGTTATATTCAGCATTTTGTCATCAACACCACAATTCAAATACATCAATTCTCCTTTGATCTTCCTTTTACATTGTATCCCTTTCACATGAAAAAGTGGCAATTAAAAAGACTATGGCTTGAGTTAGGAGCACCTTAGTCATCAAAATGAAATCTAGCCTTTCTTCTACCCATGTGTTAACCAGAGCAGTTCCACTTTGTATCTATTTTAGATTTAAGATTTCACTTGTAAGCACAGTGCAAAGCCCCACTGTCTCCTTCCATCCAAAGCACATGCAATTGTCCTACTGTGCACAGAATCTAGTAAATTGTCCAACACTATGTGATAGTCACTGAAGTTTATGTCAGAGAAGCATGAGATGTGGAATCCTATAAAGACAGGCCTAAAATCCAGCTTAGGAAATAGTAACGACACATGTGAAATAATGACTATCTTCTGCAGACTCCTGGAGTAGCCATTCTAGGATGAGCTCAGCTCTTTACAAGGCGATGATGGAAGAGGGCTCATTAAGGAAAGGAGTTTTGGGTTGCATCTGCAAGAATGAGTCTCTAACTACAGGGTGTTGGTGTTGTTGTTAACTGCTGCCAAGTCAGTTCCAACTCATAGCAACCCTGTATAGAATTTCTGAGGAACGGCTGGTGGATTTGAACCACCAGCCTTGCAGTTCAAACAGACCTTGTGGTCTAGTGTTTATCCTGCAACTGGAGCCACACCAGGACTCCAACTTTGTTAACTTTGTTAAGTGCCATTGAGTCAGTTCTGACCCATAGCGACCCTGTACGGGGTTTCCGAGGGTGTAAATCTTTACGGGAGTAGAAAACCTCATCTTTCTCCCGCGGAGCAGCTGGTAGTTTCGAACCGCTGACCTTAAGGTTCACAGCCCGATTTGTAACCACTACGCTACCAGAGCTCCTTGGTAACTAGACACCTAATAACTTGGGTAAAAGGGAAGGTTAAATAAATAAATACATACATACATATACACATACATACATACATCAATTCAATGTTAATAAATGAATGAAATATTATCAAAGTTTAAAATAAAAGGATTCCAAGAGTTTCTTAAAATCATGTTAGGTCTCTGAGCTTTTGTTATGACTTAAATATACTTTACTTGGCCTTAGAAAGTGAATAAAATGACTTGACAAAATCTTTTTTACAATAATTACCATAGAGTTTTGTTTTTACTGTTTCTTCTTTGAACCTGCTAATTCCAAGTTCTTGTTGTTTCTCCAAAAAAAGAAATGAATGGATCAAGTTTGAAGAGGTGGAATGGTGGAGGGATATTTTTTCCTACCTTTGTGGATGGTGTCGTCCCTTAGTTACCCAAAGTGATCTCTCCCATACTCCTCTGGTCGTTCATTTAGGCTCTTGTGATGCTGCCGTCTTTCATCCACCCCCATTACCCTGTCCTTGGTCAAGTCCTTATCCCTTCTGTTTTGAAAGCTGCCTCCTAATAATATCCCCAGCCACCCACAATTCTCTCCTCCACATCAATGCCAGAATGATGTTTTTAAAAAACAAGTCTGTGAGTGTCCGTCTTCTGCTTTAAAAGCTTTTCCAGGACTCCAGAAACAAAGGTTAACAAAAGTAAAGGTAAAATAAGGTAGGAAGAAGAATGTAGTGATTGATACAGGGCATAAAATGTTAAGTCTAACTGATGTGGCACTGTAGGATCAACACTGGACTGTGAACCACAAGAGAAGCAGTTCAAACCCACCAGCTGCTCCTAGGAAACCCTATGCAGGGTCGCTGTGAGTCAGAACTGACTTGATGGTACTTAACAACAACTTGTTCTTGAATCCCTGTGAAGCAGTTCTGCTCTGTAACACAGTGGGTTTTTGTGAGTTGAAACAGAATCAGTGGCACTGGGTTTGGATTTTGGTTTAACTCTTCCATAAGGCTGGCAAAGCTCATCAAAACTTTCTTTTGATGGAGGGGATAATAATCAATGTAATGAAACAAGCTATATGAATGGTTGAATGTGAAGCTGATGATGTGCCCTGTAAACTTTCACTCAATGCAAAATAAAAACATTTAATTAAAAAAAAACAACAAAACTTTCTTTTGAGTATCTCTGGAGATCTGGTGGTGCTATCGGACAACCACTGGACTGTTAACCACAAGGTTGACAGTTTGCAGCCAGCAGTTGCTCTGTGGGAGAAAGATGAGGTTTTCTGCTCCTGAAAGATTTACAGCCTTAGAAACTCTATATAGGGTTGCTATGAGTTGGAATCACCTCCATGAAAGTGGGTTTGAAGTTTGGGGTTTGTTTCTTGTTTGGAGTATCTAACCCCTCCTCCTTCAAGTCACACCGCAAGCATCACAGGAAGCCTTCCAAATGTCTGGAAACTTTGAACCCACCACTATCACTCAAGTGTGTCTGAGTTTCTGTTGTCATTACTATCTTTTTCTAATGTAACCCTCCCCTGAATTACGTTGTGAAGACCTTAGTCAGAGATGTCTTCATCATTTCTCTATCCCCCGTGTCTTTCACAATACCTAGGTACATACTAGAACTCAGTTACTATTATGAAGCAAATGACTTTTAGGTTAGAGAAAGAAATAAAAATTGAGGCATATTTTATAGAGAGTAGTGAAGAAGTAGAAGGAGCTCTGGTAGCATAGTGGTTACAAATCAGGCTGTGAACCACAAGGTCAGCAGTTCGAAACTACCTGCTGTTTCGCAGGAGAAAAATGAGGCTTTCTGCTCCCATAAAGATTTACAGCCTCGGAAACCCTGTACAGGGTCGCTATGAGTTGGAACCAACTCCACGGCACATAACAACAACAACAGTGAAGAAGTAGAGTTAGATGTTTTTAGGGAAATATGCCTACATTTCTACTAAGAGGAGTTTCATCATAGTTATAAGGACCCTGTGTGGTTGTACAAGGATTGCTGTCACGGTTAGGTGCCGTCAAGTCTTTTCCTACAATAACAACCCTACTCAAAACAGAATGAAACACACTGCCTGGTTCTGCACCCTCCTCACAATTGTGTTTGAGCCCATTACCTCTGTCACCGTAACAATCCTTCTCATAGTCAGTCTTCCTCTTTTTCTCTGACCCTCCACTTTTACCAAGCATGATGTCCTTCTCCAGGGACTAGACCCTCCTGATAACACGTACTAACGAAGTATAAGAGACGAAGTCTCTCCATACTGGCTCCTAAGGAGCATTTTGGCTCCTAAAGAGCATTCCAACACAGATTTATTTGTTCTTCTGGAAGTCCATGAATATGTTAATATTCTTCACCAAAACCATAATTGAAATACATCAATTCTTCTATGGTTTTCTCTATACATTGTTCAACTTTCACATGCATATGAGGCAATTGAAAATGTCATGGCTTTGGTAAGGTGCACCTTAGTCCTCAAACTGGTATCTTTGCTCTTGAACACATTAAAGAGGTCTTGTGCAGCAGATTTGCCTAATGCAATACATCATTCAATTTCTTGACTGCTGCTTCCATGAGTGTTGATGGTTGATCCAAGCAAACTGAAGTAGTTGACTATTTCAGTCTTTCCTCCATTTATCATACTGTTATTTATTGGTCCAGTTATGAGGACTTTTGTCTTATTTACATTAAGGTGCAATTCACACTGAAGGCTTCCTTAGTAAGTATCTCCAGTCCTCTTTTCTTCTAGCAAACAAGGTTGTATCATCTGCATATCACAGGTTGTTAATGATTCTTCCTTCAACCCTGAAGACATGTTCTTTTAATATAATCCAGCTTCTCAGATTCTTTTATAAGATTGAGTAAATATGGCACATATCTTTCCTGATTTTAAACCATTCAGTATACCCTTTCTAAGAACTGCCACTTTGTACAGATTCCTCATGAGCACAATTAAGTTTTTTGGACTATTCATTCTTCACAATGTTATCCATAGTTTGTTATGATCTACACAGTCAAAAGAAGAAAGCACAAATAAACATCTTTCTGGTATTCTCTGCTTTCAGCCAAGATCCATCTTATATCAGCAATAGCATTGCTACATCCTTCTGAATCTGGCTTGAATTTCTGGCAAATGTAGTAACCATTTTTAAATTATCTTCAACAAAACTTTATTTTCATGTGATATTAATGACATTGTTCAATGACTTTAACATTCTTTATGGTCACCTCTATTTGAAACAGGCACAAATATGTTCCCTTTTACGTGGTTGGCCAGGTACCTGTCTTCCAAACTTCTTGGCATAGATGATTGAGTGCCTCCAGGGCTGCATCAGTTTATTGAAAGACTTCAA